CGTGTAAAGTGATTCGTTCCCCGGGGGTGACTACTACCTCCCTAAACCCAGGTGAGCAATTTTGCAAACCCTCAGTCGGTGATTAACCCTGGATGTGTGTGTCTTATACAGTACATGAGATACAGTGTACTGCATAATTTTACTTTTAAACGTGCTTGCCATCGGCAAGACGCGTGTAACCATTACGGTTGAAAAGGGGCGGAAATGCACATTAAGAGTATAAAGGACTCGAAGGCGGCGTGAAAGTCTACACGGAGGGGTGTGAGGACCCGTCGAGTATTTATACTTTCATCCAAATTTAGGCGAGACGGCTTGGGACAAACATCCTAGTGAGGTTTAGATTGCATGGGCAGGTTGGTTGGGTCATGGGTAATTTTTGCACCCTTCCGGGGTAACTACCGTAAGAGAGAACGAATCTTGTTCCCAGTAACGACGTACATTACTAAGAGGGTCAGGGGGCGTGAGCCGACAAAAGGCCAATTTTTCTAGGCACTGTTTTGGGGGACTGCTTACCTACTAAACACGTCCTAAATCCTCGACATTTACTTTCAAACACTCGTACGTTGCGCGTGGCGAAGCAAAGGTTTTTAGGAATAGACTAAGAAAGGGTTGCAAGGTCGGCACCGTCGTAAAAAGTTGATAACATCTGGAGGGAGGTGTTAGTAAAAAGTCACAGGGACATGTGTTCTCTCAGTTTAAAACCAAACGTAAACTCAACTCCCATTCGGTAGTGTAAGTGTTGCAAACCACAGTTCCGATGACGCTTAAGAGGGTGACACATGTTGGTTCGGTAACACCATGTTCAAATCCGGAGGAGATGTTCAAAGGTTTCCCGTGGCCGAGAGGTATGTACTACGAATTCTGGAGTACTGAAACGCGTGGGTGTCGTCTTGTCACACCTTCGACTATGGTAGGAGGGAACAATGTTGTGGAGCGTCACTCCCGGTGTTCCGTCAAACAGATTTGAAGTATACACCGTTTTGCTGTCAATGTAAGGACCAGGTGTAGTAAAGTCCTCTCCTTTTTGCGAAAGTCTATTGCATAACGGTAGTACACGCGACGAGGACGGTTTTGGACAGGTGATTCGCTGTCTACTACAGTAAAAACCCATATGCACAAGTAGTGACGTCCAGTACGAGTAGGATTGATAAGAGGCGAGTCTTGCGGTGAGGCATGGTGAGTGCGTACAGTGGCCAAAGTTTTTGGACGTCCTAGCGGGGAATGTACCTACGACCTTCGCGCTGCTTCGAAAGTAATTGTACTTCGACCGAGAGGTAGTCGGTCTGCGATCCAGATGGACTAGGGATCGGTTCGGAAAATGTGTCCGGTCCACCTACTTGCCGCTACCCACATACTGGAGTCAAGGAGGAAGTCTAGTACCCCCTTTTGTCTCCGGGACAATGGCGGATAAAGAGGAGGTTCGTCTGGGACATCGACGACCGGGACGGTTTTACAGAGACACGTCAACGACCGTCGACTTTTTCGAGAGTTGAGGAGTGACACTGGTAATATCAATACGTGGAAACTGTGACAACCAAGGTGTTCGACAAAGAGAGTAAGGAGACACTTGTCTCTTGTAGTGTGGAGAGACGACGTGCAGTAGAATCCATAGTGTGTACCGGACAATCTGTACGGATTACGAACTTCCAGTTTGCGACATGGTGGAGACTTGGGTCGTAGAGAATACGCGAGGAGGGTCTTCTGCCACTGCTTGTGCTAACACAACGGCTGAAGAATAACAATACATGAGGGTCTGGACTAATTTTATACGATGGGACTGTTTGGGACTGGAGTAAGAACACACCAACTACCCAGGCGGAGAGTGTTGGGACACCCGTGATTAGCCCACCAAAGAGACAAAGAAAGTCTAAGACGACAGGAGACAAGCCTGGCGAGGGTACGGTGGAGAAGGGGGGTCCGGTGTTCGTCGGTCTCGGAGCATCGTGAGGACTCCGGACGTGAAAACGTTTTCCGTTTAGACATTTATAGATGTGACTGGAGTGCAATACGGGAGCCCCATCATGTACTTTACTAAACCCGGATAGTACCTTCACATCTGTTAAGTACCCAGACCTTTAACTGCCATTCGGGTCACGAATTGGGTACACAGGATCAAACATCCGAATAACTGCGGTAGAGACGCAGTGACAGATCCCAAAGATATTTTGCTCGCATGACATCTACAATCGGGCCCTCAGGAGGTTGGCCTGCCCCCCTACTCTGCTTTGTCCCCATGGAGAAAGTCTTTAAGTGTTACCAAAACACCCCGTGTTACCAAAACACTATTTTTCACCCGTCGGTGATGTGATATTTGTTCCTCAGTACAAATCACACAAAAACTGATCGTAAAACCTTTTACGACGGATATACCAAATATCCTACTTTTGAGCAGCCCGCCTAATAAATGTCATGGAGGTTAATTACGTTTTACTTTTAAACAATTAGAAATTGTACATCTCACCGAGCATTGAAGGCCTTTTGAGTTCGTTTGATCTCATGAAGTCAATCGGTTTTGTGTAGCACGGCGGAACGCCTCAGAAATCTGCTTTCACACGGATGTCTCATATTGTTATTAGACACCTGTGTCCTTGAGCTGTATAAAGTATAATGGTTATCAGAATATGGAAGTTCAAACTTTGTGTGAAGAGGAGTAGTTTCAACATAGTCTGCCAAATCAGCTCTGTGGCCTTGAAGCACTTGAGAATAATAACCCTCAGTAAACAGATGAAACAGCAAATATGAAGAAATGGTACAGTAGTGTTAGACAATGCTTTCGGAAGCATTTGGTTTTACCATATAAGGTAACATAAGAAATTGCCACTACACTCCAATACAGACAGCACATCAACAGGTAGGCTACTTTTGGGCCAGCAACCGCTCAAAGACCAACAGCCCCAGGTGATCTTGGGGTTAATAAACCCAACCAGGTGAAACTGGATCGTTTTCCAGGGAGATTACGCATTAAAGACTGATAAAGGACTGCTAAGGTATGCCGCATCAAAAAACACATTTCATGTGAGAGTTTGTGGAGAGAGACAGATACGCGAGGAAACAAATAAGGAAATGAGTACTTTGGTGGACACAGATGAGCTGGCACGGAACCGTTATTACGTGTCAGCTGTCGTTGATATTATAGCTTTTTTAGCTGTCAACCAACTCCCTCTCAGAGGTGACCACGATTCACTCCACAGCATGTCCGAGTCAGGCAGTGGGCTCTTCCTATCGCTGTTTGAGTATACGCTGCACAAAGATGCAGAGTTGGACAAAATAATGTTCTAAGTTAGCTCGGCTCATACTTGCCAACCTTGAGACCTCAGAAATAGGGAGCATTTCAAAATGCAAAATGGGGGGGGCGGGGTGCTAGTTTATCGCCGGAGATGTTAGATTAACATTAACATGCTTATTGTAGTTCTAAGTGCAGCCTGTAGCACCATCCTTGATGGAGCATATGTGTGGGCAGGAAAGGAGTGAGCAGAGAGTAGAGTAGTTGTCGATTCTTGTTCTGTTTTCTGTGACTATCTGCCTCACCCTGTCAGACTTTCAGTTGCGCGCGCTACTAAGGAGACGTGTTACCATGGAAACCAAACAATGGTGTAGCTGTATTAAAGTCCGAGTGGAAACAGTCGTGAGCTTTCTGATTTTGTCAGAAATCGGGAGAAATATGACCCCGGGAGGAAACCGGGAGAGGGCAATGAAATCGGGAGTCTCCCGCGAAAATCGGGAGGGTTGACAAGTATAGGCTCGGCTGAGCGAAAGGATGCGCCTGCAGTGCATAGAAATAAACCATGCCCAAGGAGGGCTAAACAGTTCATCGTCTCCGTCTCTACTATTTCTCTCCGAGAGCAACGATGAGGAAGCTGCCATCCTTACCCAGTGTGTGCCTTGCTCGTGATTTACCAGTGTTTGTGTTGCCACGCAAACTATGTTTCAAAAGTGGTTTCTATGTTGCCCTTTATTTGTGTATGTATTTGCGATAAGTGTGTGTCTTTACGCAATGCTGTTGGCCTAGCTGTTTGATATATATTGTGCCGCAGGCCCGCAGCACGTGACGGTTTTGTGTGTCCTCCCATGAAAATCATATGCCCTCCCTTTAGATTCGTTCTGGCGCCGGGTCTGGTCTAATATAGGCTCCACTACAAGCCAACCCTCTGATGAAACTGAGATTTGAAAATATTTCAATTGGTGATCTTCATTTTCTGGCACCACTATGTTTTTTGGAAAACTTTTGCACACTCAACCATAAGTGATCTATATAGACAAAAAGCAAGATTGGATAACAAAAAGATTTAGATAAAAACTAGGGAAAAGCCTGGCATTCCAAAAAAAAAAAGAAGAAGGATCACATGTCAGCATCTAGTGGTCATTTGTGGAACTGCGGATTGACACACCTACACTTTGACTGTGGTATTTCAATTGTTTAAATACATTTCTTAGCTTGAGAATTAGAGGTTAAATCAAGTAGATATTCTTGTGTATTGTAGGGAAGTCAGCATCAGCCAAAAAAGCATTGGAAATAACTAATACTGTGCAGTCCTATTTATAAGTCAGATTTTCTTCCTCCTTGTCTGGCATTAGTCAGCAGTATATATTACCCAATGGACAATGCAGTGGTAGGTGTTTATATGTTATTGTATTCAACTGTTGCTCTATGTAGGTGCAGCAAAACTATACATTAGTTCCTCAGTGTGGATGTGTTTGAATGCAACTATGAACTATGCTGATTCAAAAGGATTGACCAAGTGTTTTTGAATCAATATTGTTAAATGTTGCCTCTTAAATTTCCATCTGAATCCCACGTCATTTTGTAAAGACTTATACCGAGATATGTGCATTTTAATCTTTAAAGACATTTAAATTACTTTAACTACACTGACATAACTTCATTTGGTTTGCTCCAACTTTATTTTAAGGAAGCTGGGAATCATGTGACGTATAAAATGTGACTTGTCCCTCAAACAACAGCTGGGTAAAAAAGCTTTTTTTAATCCTTAACTTGAAACTCACCGTTCCTCCAACAGCTTTTCAAATTTCTGCTTGGCCAGCACCATGAGCTCATCCACCTCGTTTTGACTGCGCTTGAAGTTCTCAATGCTGAAGGCGTACACTGTAACCTCTTGGATGTTCAGATTCTTACACCAACGTAATGTCTGTGGTTTAGGGGACACATAGATGAGCATCTTATTTAATGCCCAGGTAACATGTGGTTGAAAAGGCAAGCTTTAATCACAAAGAAATCTCACCTCTGCCAGCTTGTTGAAGCCCTGCATGTGTCCTTCTTGGCGCTCCATTTGTTTCTTACGTGCAAAGCGGCGGTTACCATCCATGATGAAGGCAACATGTTTAGGCATGGGTCCAGCCTGGGAGTCAACAGAGATTTGTGTTATACTGACACAGTTGTACAGAGATTAAATAAACAGACAAATATTTAGCAACAACTGTGATAACATGTCGAATATAGTTTGGTTTCAGCTTCTTAATGAGGAACATTTCTCTGACAACTGATTCATCATTAACATTTAATTCGAGTCACAGAGCTAAACCTCCATATTATTGAAAAGGGCATAACTTGAGATTGACTTGGGAAGAAACTGAACTGAACTAACACTGCTATAGATGCTTTTCCAGAATCCTGAAATACTTTTGTAAGGATCTTATTTCAAAAAGAAGATCATGTCTGCAGAATGATAACAATTCAGAAAACACTATACTATAGATAATCTCCTTGTTTGTTTTAATTTAAGAAGATCTTTTTTTAAAAGGAGCACAACTACCACTAAGAAGAACGTTATTGTTTTTAAATCGTACATATTGAAGACGGAGATGAGATTTGTACCTAATACGTAATTCAGGCACTACTAAAATGATAGTTTCGATAAGATTGACAACAAAGATTATAAATATCTAGGCTTACCTTCAGGATGTTGGCAGATATCTTTTCAATCAGGTTTAATTCACCTTCCCTTATCCACGACATTTTCGGGCTTTAAACGGTCTAAAAAAACAGTCGATTCAATTTTTAGAGAGGTTTTTGAATGTCAACCATAAAACCCAAGCTAAAATAAACAGACAAATGTGTACAATTACTGTTCATACGGAATGTCGGAATCTGAATGTCTTATTATGTGTCATTTTAAAGAAATATGTATTTGTTTCATGCAGTCAGTGATTGATTTGTCCGTTAACTGCCAGCCCCACACACGAGACGTGCACTGAACTTAACGGTTGTGAGACTAAAACCAAATACTGAGTTACACGTCGTGCCGAAAAAAACATACTTTTAACAGAAACGGCTTCGGTCATTGAAACTATTGAACCATACTCTGTGTTATTTGCAAAATCACAATCATTTCATCACATCTCACAGACCTTCCAACTCACTGCTTTAGCGATGACGACCACTTCCGCATTGGAGTAAAGTGACGTAGGCGCGTGCTTACGACTTCCGGCCAGACGTTGGTAGATTTTCAAATTATGTGGATAAAGTCAACGTCCGTTCTGTGCACTGATATTTCGATATAAACTGATATCATTATAAAAGCTAAAATAACGCACTATAAAAAAATAAAGTAGAAGTATCTTTATACACATTACAAGAAATGTAAATTTGTAATACAGTAAGTATCAAAAGTACTCACAATAAATATAAATGGTCCTGTGAGTCTTCTATAATTATGTATTATATCATTGCATTATGCATACAGTTTTTTTATGGATGCTTCTTGGTTTGATAATGTATTTTTAGACACAAGGACATTTTGTTTTAACACTGACTCTAAACAAATTAATTAATGTTAAGAAAAAACATATTATTAGTTTTAATTGGCTTCTCATTCTTATGGTTTCTTACTGTGGTGCCACGTTGATGCAGTTATTGATATTTTGCCTAAACTTTGTTTTGACGTTGACCCAACTCTTCTTAAGAATGTTGAATTTCCCCAAAAAATACAACTAACTGTACAGAGAAAAGTATGTTTTTCCTCCACATTACGTTCAAAATATTTAGAAATGTCCTGATCCTAAAATAACTTTGGCCACATTTTCATCTTAAATAGGCCTAATACTGAAGATCCACTTAAAAAAAAGTTCTAGTACAGGCTTATAAAAAGTGAAAAAACAAATGACAGATGGTTTCTTTTTCTAGCACATGAAAGAACATTGTAACCTCTTGGATGTTCAGATGCTTACACACACGTAATGTCTGTGGTCAGGGGCGCAGCCAGGGATTTTGGGCCCCATGAAAAGATATCACATTGTTTACTTAAAGATTTTTTTCTTTATGTTCAAAAATAGTTTGGGCCCCTGTCAGTCACGGGCCCTTAAAATCTTCCTAACACCCCCTTACGGCGCCCCTGTCTGTGGTTTAGGCTTTAGGGGACAAAGGGTTAGACATACATGAGCATCTTTTTTAATGCCCAGGTTACTTGTGCTTAAAAAGAAGCTTTGATCACAAAGAAATCTCACATTTTTTCTAGCGCATGAAAGTTCATTGATATTATCAATTCACATATGTCCAATGCATGGTAGCAACAGTGCAGTTATTGCAAGGAAAATCTTAAGTCCCAGGCTTCTTCCACAATGCAATATAAATAAAGACATAACCAATAAAAAAATAGGGCAAGTAGAAACAAACAGAAATAAAATAGGGCAAGACAATGTTGAAAGTCACCAATGTGCAGGTAAACTATAATATAACATAGACTAAGATTAGCAAAACATTGAATGTAAATACTGTACAGGAATAAAATACTGATTTTTGTAGTAATAAATACACACGAATTCTAAACCTCGCAAGTGTATGTTTTGCACATACATTTGGTGAAAACTTTCAAAGGACATCTCTTGAAACACTTGTCCAGGTCCATACATTTTCATATCTGCAGTGTAGTTTCTCCTTTAACCTCTGGGGTGTGACAGCAAGTTCATCAACAGTTCCTTTAGCACTTTCTAATGGCAAAGAAGAAGTTTCAGATTTTTTGGGGGGGTGAGGGGCTGGCCTTTTTTTGTTCTGCTGAAGAATCCTGCTTGAACGGTGAGCAGGAGCACAACAGACGGACCAGAGACCTCAGAGACGCGGACTGTCGGACTCATCACAGCGCCGGGAGGGAGCGCACTGTGGAGGGAGAAGAGCGGGCATCAGTCACACGGTATCGCCCTCCGGTTCTACCGTATCTACCTGCAGGGTCACAGGGCAGACGAGCCAGCTATTCCCGGTAGCCTCAACTCCTCTGTGGGTCTGGGGGGTTCTGGTAGTGGCAGGGGGGCGGGGGTACACCGAGAGGGGAAGAGACTACACGCCGAGAGGAGGGGGCTGGAAGTCTGAGACGCTTCCACCCTGAAGGGGCCGGTGGTTTGGCCACAGCACCCCCGGACAAACTAGCTTGTACCCGCGCTGCTAAGTGAATGGGATGGAGCCGGGACCGTCTGGCGATGGTAGGTTCATCTTTTCACTTTAACATAGTATCAATCCTGGCGCTAGAATTATGTCTGGAGACTGCATTTAGGAAAACCGTAGCCTGGCCTTAGCATCAGGGTGATGTAGAAGGAGACAACCCAGTCTGTTGAGAAAGTGTGAGATAGAGGTGGCTCTCCTGCAGACTGCATGCACACCACTGTGTGGAGAAGGATATTTTTAGCCAGATTTTAAGCTACAGACATGCATTTTGGAGCGCTGACAGTATCCTCAGCCATGCATGGGGCCATGGAGGTCGTGGGAATCGGGGTGAGGAGGGATGAGGTGAAGCCCGCCTTCCAGCAGCAGCACATCAGCAGCAGCATCTGGCTGCACCCAGCCTCCCCTTCACTGACAGCTTAGCTTAGCTTGTCTTAAGACTGTTTAACACATATGCATTACATTCGCACATTAGAGACACAGGCCTAAGATCTGCAGAGAAAAATGCATTATTTATTTATCATGCACCAAAAAGAATCCTAAATTGTGATATCTGCCTATGGAGTTGACATGATCTGTTTTTAGTATAACAGAAGCATGTGCAGTGTATTGCAGTTGTATGTGAGGGTTTCACTCTGCATTGCATGCTTTAGATTTACAGCTAGTGCTTATCAGTGCCAGTGATGATCTTTATTTAGCAGGTTTCTTGTATGACACTGAGGTATGGAGGCAGCCAATTAAAACATAAAGTAGGTAGTATATGCCAAGGTATAAAGTCCTCCTATTGTGGAAAACCTCGAACCCTGGATTTTACTAATTAATGGGAAGGTTTTTATATTGAGAGTTATCTGAGCACAACATATCTTTTCCATTTGTACATTTATCCAGAGATAGAAATTACATTGTCAAATCAAATGCTGACCCTTAAGTTCACTTGAAAAGTTTTTATATTTTAGGATGGGGGAAGGGTCCCCCGGGGCCCCTCATCTCAAAGTCTGCTTTTGTGTGAAGTGTGATTATTCAGTTGCTATTTTCGGAGATTGAGCTGATGGTCAACAGCCAATTATGAAGAGAGCCAAATGGTTTGGCCAAAACAATTGATGCATAATTGTCTGTTCCCTTTTGTTTATGTGCTTGGTCTGTTGGGATCTTGTGACAAGGGTAGGGGTGTCCTGGTAATAATCAGCTACTGTGTCCAGTTTGGAGATTTTAATGTCATTGTAATATTATTTTTGAATGTCAGCGTGTACTTGTATACTTGTATTTAGACAGACAAGTATATCACACTTTCAAACTGCTAAAGCCATACAAGTCTAGACTGAAATATTTAAAAGCTACATACTGATCCTTTAATTGTAAACATGTTAATGTTTATTATCTATGTTTTAAAATGAGCTTACAGTTTGTTGTATGCTGATTTCACCAAAGGATCTTTAAAACATGCACATTTACCATTATAAACCAAAATAATGTGCACAAAAACTACATGTTCCCTAAGTTACGACTATAAAAGTAGTCATTTCCCATGTGACGTGGGCTTATTGCTTGTTACGTCACTGTGAAGAAAGTTAGTGAGTGTTTTCCTGTTGTGATGCAGCACCAAAGTCTGCTTTGAGTCTTAGCGCCCGGGAAAGAGTGCTATTGTCTTGGGATATGTGAAAGCGCTGGCTCCGCTTCTCACCATCTGCCTTCACTGGCACGAGAGCAAAGTGTGTGTCATTGTGTGTGTGCGACGCGCAACAATCACAACTCACGATGCTCAGATTCACACACACAAATGCCCTCTTACCCAAAGAGTATGTGTGGTCAACACATGTCCAGTGTCTGGGTGTTTGTCAGATGTCTTGTACATTTGATACTACACACAGACTCACACACTAAGCAGAGCATCTTGCTGTGTTTTATGGCTAATGTTAACCTTCCTGTCAGATTTGAAAAGCTTAGTCAGCATATCATTGATGGGTTTATTTGACCCAAGGATTTCCCTCGTAGCTTTTTAAAATGGGACTTTTCCAGTCTGGGATACACAGGCGCCTCGGACTGATTTGGGAACAGTGCAGGACCAAAAGGGGCCGGGCCAAGGTCTCTTCAGCATGACCACAGCGGCACACACACACACACACACACACACACACACACACACACACACACACACACACACACACACACACACACACACACAGGTCCCCTGATATCCATGACAATGCTGTGTTGCCGAGGTGTCTCCATGGTGAGGCTGAGAATGTAGAGGGGGCCCCCTGCGTTTGTGTGTGTGAGGGTGGGTGATCACCGTAGCAAGGGCGCTCCCTCTGTCGTACACCCCTGAATTTGTGTGTGTGTGTGTGTTATGGAGGAGCAGGGCAGCTGGGGTCTTTGTTGTGGTGGAGAAGGGCTGTTCTCTGGGGACCCCAAGGTTAAGGCCCTGGGCCCCTTTCAGGCAGGAGTCACAGCTAACCTCACACTCTGCACCCAGTCTAGGACCCCCTTGTTTTTAAGATTGAGAGTGACCATGCTAGTATGGCTGCTGAAAAACCCTTCAACGAGATAAAGGTTGTTAGCTGCTACAAACCACTGAAAGTTAAAAAAAGGTTTGTCAGGTATTTTGAAAAGTGTAAAAATATTGTATGTTCCCTACAGCTGGGATGTGTTCACAACAAACCTGAAGAATAAAGATCAATGTGTAAAATCATCCAAATCCTGCTTTGCTACTTTGCTACACTATTACAAAAATAGTCTAATTTATTTCCCTTTTTTCTCCCGCCATAATTTATATTTCTACCATCCTCCCCCTTCTCATCATTGTCCATCCTCATCTGATCTAATCTGGTTAATCCTCCTCCTATTCCTTATGCCTTTTTTTAATACTCTCCTCAATCAACTTTTATCTTACTTCTTACATAACATACCTCTCTCCTTTCCCCCTGTCCCATATATACATGTTAAATCTTAACTGTTTCATTCTCATTGTTTATCTCTGTCATTATCTTTCCCTCTCCTTCTTCCTGCCTTCCTGTTCCTGCCACTCTCTCCTGTGTCCACCTCAA